AGTAACTACTATATACCAAGTACTGTTGTAGGTATGGGAATATACAATTAACAAAACAACAAAACTCTTTGGAGCTTATTTTGGTGGGGAAAAGACACATATGAATAGTAAAATAATATCAAGCAGTAAAATGGCTATAAAAATATAACAAGGAAATTTTCAGAAGGTTAATTTTGCTAAGAAACTCAGGCAAAACAAATTAAATTTGGATGGGATTACCACATAAGGAAAATTTATTAGGAGAGAGTTCTGATAAATCTTATAATCAGAGGTAAGCTGGGTGGTTTAGTGGGGACTCAATAAGAAGACACTATTGACATTTTTTTTTTTTTTTTGGTCAGGAATAAGTTTAGTTTGAAAATACTTAAAAACTGCCAAGAATTTATAGCACTTTCAAAACTTCTAATTTCATCCTTAACCATCTGATCACAGTTGATTTAGATTGCTTATGTGTCCTGCCCTAACACTGGTTAAGCTGCCTCACTGCCCTAACTGGAACACATCCATAAATTGTGGGCACTGGAAGGTTAATCAGAAACACACTGGCTGGTTAGTTGTGAAAGCTGTTTACATGTGTATATGTGTGTGTGTGTGTGTGTGTGTGCGCGCACATACAGTGAAGTTAGGATTCTCAACTATTTTTTCTATAGCATGGTAGAAGAGAGAATAAAATATTAGAAATCAAAGATATCCAGTGTGGTACCAATTATGCTTTTATTATCCATGTGTCACTGGGGAAGTTAATTCACGTCTCTGAGTCTGCAGTATTGACATATTTGCCCTGCATACTTTACAGACTTGTAATGAGGACCAGTAAATTATTGTGGTGTGCAAAATAAAGTCTCTTTTCCCCAAAGATGTCTATTATGATCCCAAGACTATCCCTATGAACCTGTGAATACGTTAGGTTACGTGGTAAGGGAGAAATCAGGTTGCAGATGGAATTCACATTGCTCATCAGCTGACTTTTCTGATTGAAAGAGGATTTGAGTTTCATCAATGGCCACACTGTGATCACAAGGGTCAATGTAAGTAGAAGAGGGAGACTGAAGAGGTAGGCTTAGAGAGATAGCTGCGTGAGATGGTCTCTGGCCAACACAGTTGATTTTAAAGATGGAGAAACAGAGCCATAAGCCCATGAATGTGGGCACCTTGTACAAACTAGTAAAGGAAACAGATTTTATCCCAGTCTCCAGAAGGAATGGAGCCCTGTGGGTCCAATTCATATTTCTGACCTTGAGGACTGTAAGAGAATAAAAATTCATATAATTCTTAGCCAATAAATGTGTGGTAATTTGTTACAACAACAATTGGGAAAAAATGCAAAAATATTTTAAAATTGGTAGGAAATTATATAAGATGCTATTATTTATCCAACAAGATAAGATAGCTCAGATTAGTCTTTAGCATACTTGATGGCAGATAACATGACAACCAGGAGATCTTCAGAGCTGTATCATATTTTCTTCTCAAAGGCAGATGTCCTCCGTTTCCGGTTTCAGTGCCTAACCATTTTGCTCTGAGTTCTTCTTTTATTTGTGAAGCAGAGTTGATTACCATGTAATTATCAAACCATTTCCAGCCACCAGTCTTTCTACTTCTTTAGTTTCTCTTAATTAACATTATTCTGTTTCTCTCAAAGAGATGGTAAAGAACTTTTTCAGAGTCATATTACCACAGCAAAATTATGTAAAGGTAATTTCCACTTTGTTGATAATGAACAATTCTCTTAAAACAACTGTAAAATATGTTAAGTATAATATGCTAAAACATCATTGTTTTAGAGTTTTTCTCACTGGTCTGATTAAGAAAGCTAATAGACTCTTTCCCATAGATGAAAGTATCTTAATTTATGATTTAGAATTCAAATGTCAGGGCTATGTCATACTTATTAAACCCAAATTTATAAAATTAATGCAGTAATAAAAATTTAAGTGTACTAAGGAAATAAAACACAAATTCATGTTAAGTTTTCAAGATTAACAAAGTTAAACTGACTCACATTGAGGAATAGAATAATATTTTTTTTTTTTTTTAAAGATTTATTTATTTATTTTTACAAGCACTGGGCACAGTCAGAAGTGCAGGAGGGTGAGAGAATTCACCAGAGCCAGAGCGGGGAGCAGAGCAGGCAGAAGGACCGAAGTACACTGCTGAGGGGAGCAGCGGGCGGCAGGAGAGGTCTGCGCGCCATGCGGGACCCTCCTCTGGTGGCAGGGGAGCAGCCGGGGATTGAACAGGCGCTTCAGAGGCTTCAGGCAGCTTCGCAACCCAGCGCTCAACCGCTGCGCCACCGGGGAGGCCCTAGAATAATATTTTTACAATAGTACTTAGGTCAACCCCTAAATGTTACCATCTTTTTAAACATTACAGGTTTTATTTCTTTTTATTATAATTGAAGATCTTTTTGTTTCTTACTGTTATGGCCCTACCTTTTATTTTAGGGAATGGTATTTTTGTGCCTTCTGATAATATCGTATTATTAGTGTCTCATATAAGTTTCAACTTCAAACACAAATAATACACAAAGACACACAGCAGTGCACCAGTTATTATGTATCCTGAGTGTATAATGCCTAATGGTGGGTTCAGATTTGAGAAATATATCACCCTGTACTTCAATTGTACAGTTAATTCAATTCAGGAAAAAAAAATCTCATAATAACTGTCTCACAAACATTCAACATAAGGGGGTATACAATGGCCCATAGTATATGCCCCGGCTCATATTTTCATGGTTTTTGAAAATATGGCTATCTTTTAAAAGAGAATTCCAATAAAATATTGTACAGTAGGGCAAAGTGTTGCCTCTGGACTGAAGCAAGGGCTATGAAGTTTTACACGTTGCATGGTCTAAGTGTAAAATTTGACAGTAATCTCATGTCTTACTGAATTTAGCAATAAAGAAACTGGGGATGCAGTTTCATGTTTTGGGTTTTCATCTAGCCATTCTAATGATTAGTTTTTACTTTGTTTCATAAAATTATTGGTCTGTGACTTATTGGAAATTAAAAAAGCAAAACAAAAATGGTCATTTACTGCAGGTACCCTGGGAATCACTGTTCATGGAAGATAAAAGTTAATTCTAAAAATTAATATACGCCAATACTATGAAACAATAATTGAAGGATTTATTACAACACATGTTAAAATATGTCACTTCAAGTAACTTTTAAAATGACTTTAAATAACTAAGACTAAGACAAAGTGATTCCATCACTTAAGACTATTTCACCAATCCTAGATCCAAGATGTATAGTAAATGGATAGGAAAATTTCAAAGCTCAACTAAGTAACTTTTCTATTTCCACTCAATATATGCCACCTTGTAATGGATTTGTATTTACTTCAAAAATTAGTTTTATTAAAAGAGTAAAATGGTGATTTTAAAAGTTCAATAGAATAGGTAAGGTATCATAACCTCCACCCAGCCTCCAAAAAGATAAAACAAATCAAAATTAAAAATTATCATAGATCTCTGATCATTTCATAAAATGGATAACAAGACTATCTCTGAATACCCCTTACAAAGAAACATGCCAATATGCCTAGAAGAATTGAAAAGAGGTACTCAAACAAATCTTGCACATAATATTTATAGCAGCACACTTCATAATAGCCAAGGGGGAGAAACCATCCAAATGCCCATCAGTGGAAGAAGGAATAAACAAAATGTATATCCATCCACAAAGAGGAATATTACTTGATCACAAAAGGGAATGAAATACTGATACAATGCTATAATGTAAAGTAATCTTGAAAACATGCTAAGTGAAACAAGCAAGACACAAAAGGAAGCATTATAACTGGCTTTATTTATATGAAATATCTAAATTAGGTAAATCCATTTAGATAGCAGACTAGAAGTTTCCAGGGGCTGGGGGGAAGGTTGCCTGGGGAGTAAAGTGTTATGGTGAGTAAAGTGTATTTGCACAGTACTGTAATATACTAAATGACACTGACTTGTTCACCTTGAAATGGTTAATTTTTTTTTTAAAGATTTATTTATTTATACAAGCACTGGGTACAGTCAGAAGTGCTGGAGGGCGAGAGAACTCACCAGAGCCAGAGCAGGGAACAGAACAGGCAGATGGACCGAAATACACTGCTGAGGGGAGCAGCGGGCACAGCAGGAGAGGTCTGCGCGCTATGTGGGACCCTAGCTGGTGGCCGGGGATCTAACCGGAGCTGCAGAGGCTGCAGGCAGCTTCGCAGCCCAGCGCTCAACCGCTGCGCCACCAAGGAAGGAAGGCCTTTGAAATGGTTACTTTTATGTTATGGAATTCACCTCTAAAAAAAGATCCATGGTTATCGGTGTGCAGTTATTTGAGTACTGACTGCTTACCAGTTGATTAATCACAAGTAAGCTATGATCTTGGTACTTTCTAACTCACTCACTCCATCCTAAATTATGCTAGCATTTACAGATGGGGAAGGCCATTTAATATAAGACAGTTGGGGTAAAGTTGGAAATGAGAAAAACTTACAGTAACGAGTAAAATAAAAATTTAGTGGATGTAAAATAAAAGGGAATGCAGAAGAGAAAACTGAGAGAAGAAGCAATGAGTACTGAAGAGGCAATCATTATATATATAGTCTAATTAAAGAAGAAAAAAGATTATAGTTGTCAGTTGTGAGGGAGTATCTGCATGTTTAAATTAATTTGAAAATGACAAAACACCTATGGAAGGAAGGAAAGTTTTGAGGCTGGACAGATATTTTCTCAATATGCCCATAAACTTATAAGGCAAATAAGCAGAAAAGATAGAGACAATCCTCCAACTTCATATTATATTAGAAATTATAGAGTAAAAGAATAACAGATAGCCAATTACTCATGCACTTATTTAAATGCCAACTGACCAAGTGACTGATATTTGGAACTTCACTTTGGAATTGCACTAAATTAGTTTAACAAAAAGATTAATTTTATTACTTCACACATCTATTACATTTTAAAACCAACACATTATTCTAGACATTTCTAAAACTATACTTACATATTCCTTCACGTTTTTTGTTTTCACAGCTTTGTAGGAATAATAGGCAGGATAAAGCATTCCAAACACCAACCTGAAAGTAAAGAGTATGAGAAGACTCATCAAACACGATGCTATTAACAATGCATGAAAATTTCAGTGTTAAATTTGTAAGAGTGAAAATGTGTGTATAAACTAAATCCATCCAGAAGAACAAAGTACAATACATTCTTTAGGGCCTCCCTGGTGGTGTAAGGGGTTAAGCACCGCACTATGAAGCAATCTGCAGCCTTTGCAGCACGAGTTCCATCTCTGGCCGGCCAGGGAGCAACCCACATGGCTTAGCAGACCTCTCCTGTCTAACCCGCTACTCCCCTCAGCAGTGAATTTCAGTCAATCTGCCTGTTCTGTTCCCCACTCTGTCTCTGGTGAATCCTTTCACCCCCTTGCATCTCTGGCCTGTACCCAGCTCTTGTATGCCTAAATAAATAAATCTTTAAAAAAAAAAAAGCATTTGGGCCTCCCCTGGTGGCGCAGCAGTTGAGCGCTGGTTCAATCCCCGGCAGATGGCCAGGGTTCCACATAGCGCACAGACCTCTCCTGCCGCTGCTCCCCTTAGCAGTGTATTTCATCAGTCTGCCTTTCCTGCTCCCCGCTCCGGCTCTGGTGAATTCTCTCACCCTCCCATGCTTCTGACTGATCACAAAAATCTGCAAAGAGCTGATGAGACTCAGCAACAACAAAGAAAATAATCCAGTCAAAAAATGGGCAGACGAGCTAAAAAGAAACTTCTCTGAAGAGGAAATGCAAATGGCCAACAGACATATGAAAAAATGTTCAACATCACTTGTAATCAGGGAAATGCAAATCAAAACTACCATGAGATACCATCTTACACCAGTGAGAATGGCACATATTAAAAAAACTAGCAACAACAAATGTTGGCGAGGGTGTGGAGAAAAAGGAACTCTTGTGCACTGTTGGTGGGAGTGCAAACTGGTCCAACCACTATGGAGAGCTGTGTGGAGATTTCTGGACCTACTAAACATAGAGCTTCCATATGATCCAGCAATTCCACTCCTAGGTATTTACCCAAAGGACACAGAAACATCCATTCCAAAGAACACCTGCACCCCTATGTTTATAGCAGCACTATTTACAATAGCTAAGCTTTGGAAACAGCCCAAATGCCCAAAAATAGATGACTGGATCAAGAAGATGTGGTACATATACACCATGGAATATTACTCAGCATTCAAAAAAGATAAACACATGCAATTTGCAGCAACATGGATGGCATTGGAAGGGATCATGCTCAGCGAAATAAGCCAAAAAGAAAAAGAAAAATACCGGATGGTCTCACTCATAGCAGGAATCTAGAAAACTTAAATAAGGGACCAGGAAAATGAATATAAGAAAGTGAAAATCAAAATCAACAAAAAACTATGAACCAGAGACACTTTTTGGGGGGTGGGGGGTGGGAGGGGAGGGATTGGGGTCAGAATGGGGCGTTTGCAATTGTATGGGGGAATATAAAAATAAAATTTATTATTTAAATTTAAAAAAATAAATAAATAAAATAAAATTTAAAAAAAATCTTTAAAAAAATTAAAAAAAAAAAAAAAAGAACTCAGTTAATATTTCTAATAACCCAATATCCTGGGTTCTGTTTCTTTAAAAAAAAAAAAAAAGGAAGCATTCTTTACAAAAGGATGATTTTAAAATTTTCAAGTTTTATAGAACAATATTATTGAAAAATTGCTATTTTAAACTTTTTTTTAATTGCCACAAATGCTATTCTGTATTTCTTTTAAAAAATTGGGTAATGTGAAAATAGCCAAAAATAAAGTAAAAATTGTTTCTAACTCTGCCAATCAAAGATAATCATGGACAACATTTATTGTATATAAATCCCATTCCTTATCCATGTGTAGTATACCTAAACCATATATATAACACAAGACACACAATTTGTGATAATGAAAAAGTGGTCCTTTATTAGTTTAAGAAGCACTGGCTTTTAACGCTAATGATAGAGCTGTCAAATAGCACTTGATATTTTTATTACAAAATATATTAAAATAACTCTCTTTGAAGGCCTCCCCGGTGGCGCAGTGGTTGAGCGCTGGGCTGCGAAACTGCCTGTATGTAGCCTCTGCAGCGCCCGTTCGATCCCCGGCCACCGGTGTGCAGACCTCTCCTGCAGCACCCGCTGCTCCCCTCAGCAGTGGACTTCGTCAGTCTGCCTGTTCTGCTCCCAGCTACGGCTCTGTTGAATTCTCTCACCCTCCCGTGCTTCTGACTGTACCCAGTGCTTGTATAAATAAATAAATCTTAAAAAAAAAAAAAAAAGATTCTCTTTAAGCATTTATAAAATGACCAAATCACTAACAGAATTTAACCTAATGCCATATTTTAAGATTACTTCACCAAATCCCAGATTGAAGATATATGTGTGTGTATACATATGTAGCATGCGTGCATAAATCATTAAATATAGAAAAGGCTTGACACAGATATGCATGTGCTACATCATGTAATATTTTTGTCCTTATATATTATTTTACAGCACTTTTCTTAATGTCTTCATTACATGCCATGTTGAGATTCCCACAGTTCATTTAAACAATCTGGTATGTATAGGCTTTTGGCTAATTTCCAGGTTTCTGTTATCAAACATACTACTCTGTGAAACATTTTGTGTACACTGATATTAGCTTTCTGGTTGTGAAGGTACTGCTTCAAAAAGTACACATTTTTCTTTATTACCAATATGTCCTCCAAAAGTAAGTTCTATTTTATATTCCTATAATTGCTAATCATGATAATCACTTAAAAAAAAGTGTTTGTCAGCTAAACAGGAGAAAAACAATAATCTCATAGATGTTTTAATGTGTGTATTTCTGAACAACATTAAGGATGAATTTTTTACTGGCCTTTTGATACATGAGATATATATATATATATATGCTTTTGTTGACTTTTCTTTATTGGGGTGGGGAGGTCTATTTTTCTGTTTTCCTTTCATTGAAGTAACATTCGTTTACAACACTGTACAGGTTCCAGGAGTACATTTTCCCACTCAGCAACTGAGCCTGCAACTGTGGCACCCACCATTCTGTTGACAGAGTCTAAGGGTTTGTTTTTGTTTTGTTTGTTTGCTTTGCTTTTTCTTCTATATTCCACAAATAAGTGAAATTTTACTGTATCTGTCTTTTTCCTTCTGACTTACTTCACTTAGCATCATCCCCTCAAGGTTCATCCTTGTTGTCACAAATGCCAAGATTTCATTTTTTCTTTTTATAGCTAAGTAGTGTTTCACTGCGTTTATGTATCACATCTTCTTAATCCATTCGCCCATCACATTGGGCTCTTGGGTTGCTTCTATATCAGGGAGGCTGTGAATAATGCTTCAGTGAACACAGAGGTGATTATATATTTTTGAGTTAGCCTTTTTATTTTCTTCATGTAAATGCCTAGAAGTGGGATTACTGAATCATATGGTAGTTCTAGTTTTAATTTTTTTAAAGATTTATTTATTTATGCATACAAGAACTGGGGTAAGGCCAGAGATGCAGGGGATGAGAGGATTTACCAGAGACAGAGTAGGGAACAGAACAGGCAGACTGACTGAAATACACTGCTGAGAGAAACAGCCGGTGAGGCAGGAGAGGTCTGCTGTGCCATGTGGGTAGCTCCCTGGCCAGCTGGAGATTGAACTTGTGCTGCAGAGGCTGTGGATTGCTTCATAGTGAGGTGCTTAACCCCATGCACCACCAGGGAGGCCCTGCATGTTGTCTTTGATGAAATATGTATCCTCTGTTCATTTTTTAAATTGGTTTTATATATATATAGTTGTTGAGCTGTAAGAAGGGGGTCTAATATCTTTTTTTTTTTTTTTAAAACTTTTTTTTTTTTAAATAGAGGCATGTTTATTTATTTATTAATTATATTTGTTTGTTTGTTTTGTTTATACATGCACTGGGTACAGTCAGAAGCGCGGGAGGGTGAGAGAATTCACCAGAGCCACAGTGGGGAGCAGAGCAGGCAGAAGGACTGAAGTACACTGCTGAGGGGAGCAGCGGGTGGCAGGAGAGGTCTGCGCACCATGTGGGATCCTCCTCCGGTGGCCTGGGAACAGCCGGGGATCGAACCGGCGCCGCAGAGGCCGCGGGCAGCTTCGCAACCCAGCGCTCAACCGCTGCGCCACCGGGGAGGCCCGGGGTCTAATATCTTAATATTTTTTTTAGATAGATTCAGTTTTAAAGAAAAATTGGGAAGATAGTATACAGATAGCTCCCATAAACCCAATACCCCTACCATTGATATCATGCATTAAAATGGTACATTTGTCACAATTAATAAGTCCATATTAATATACTATTTATTAATTAAAGTCCATGCTTTATTCAGATTTTCTTTTAGTTTTTATCTAGGATCCTTTTTTTTATCCCAGGATAGCAAATTATATTCAGCTGTCTTACTTCCTTAGCTCCTCTTGGCCATAACAGTTTCTCATACTTTCCTTGGGAAATGACCTTGACAGTTCTGAGGAGTATTGATCAAGCATATTGTAAGAGGACCTTATTTTGAAATTTGTCTGCTTCACTGCCTTCCTTAACGACTTCAGCAGATGGCCTCCTCTTGGACCAGTCCTTATAGGGGCTCATAACAACAAAATAACTCGAAAACCATTGCCTTCTATAACAATTTGTTTCAACATGGCTTCCTCATACGCCTTCTTCTATTTCTACTTAACTCTGGAGTGTATGCGTCTTGCCTACAATGCTGCCTTCCTTCATTTCTTTCCACCTCTCCTTTCTGTTCTTCCATTTTTTTCTTGTTTAATTAGTTCATGTTTTTCTCCAAGTTCCAATCTTCAGCAGACTTCAAAATCACTTTTATTTTGAATTTAGAAGAATTTGGCAGGATTAGTCATTTGCCTTTAGCATATTCTATTTTAGAATGTTTGATGTAATTTTTAAAAAAGATTTATCTTTTATTTATTTATGCATACAAGAACTGGGATATGGGCCAGAGGTGTGGGGCATAAGAGGATTCACCAGAGACAGAATGGAGAGCAGAAGAGGTGGA